AGTACCAGGCTGTTTTGACTACTGTACTGTATTTGTTGTTGCTAGGTGCTATTGAGTCAATTCTGACTAATAGTGACCCTATACAATAGAACAAAACACTGCCCAGTCCTGCTCCATCCTTCCAATTGTTGTTATGTTTGAGTCTATTGTTGTTGTTGCTGCTGTGTCAATCCATCTCATTAGGGGTCTTCTCTTTTTTGTGGACCCTCCATTTTACCAAGCATGATGTCCTTCTCTTGGCACTAGTCTCTCCTGGCAACATGTTCAAAGTATGAGAGACAAAGTCTTACCATCCTGACTGTACCTCTTCCAAGACATATCTGTTCAGTCTTCTGGCAGTTCATAATCTTTTCAACATTCTTCTCCAACATCATGTTTCAAATTGTATTGATTCTTCTATGGTTTTCCTTATTCCTTGTCCAACCTTCACATGCAAAAGGAGGCATTTGAAAACGCCATGGCTTGGGTCTGGCATGCCTTAATCCTCAAATTTTAAAGAAGTCTTTTGCAGTAGATTTGCTTAATGCAGTATGCTTTTATTTTCTTTCTTTTTAAAAACTTTTTTATTGTGAATTGAAATTAAAAATTTTTTATTGTGAAAAGCTTATAGTAAAGATCATCAGTTTTACATTAAAAAATGTATACAAAAAATTATACACTTCATTTCATCTTAGTGATTGCAATCCCTTCCAGGCAACAACTTCCCCACTTCCTCCCTGGGATTCTTATTTCCATTCCACCCTCCTTTCCATCCATTCTCAATTTTGTCATTAAGCAAAAGTTGAGTTTTTGATCTTGAATGATTGATGGTGAGTATGCCTTATTAATGTCATCATCCCCCCTTTATCTATCCACTGATTGGCTAAAAATTGAGACATGAGGGTGGGTTATGTTCCAGACCTGATGGGTGTACAAAGGCCATAGTCTGGGTTCCTCCCAATTATTTGCTGACCAGTAAGCTGGCATTATTTTTGCTCTGTTTGAACTATTGCCTCTTGGTCTATGTGCAGGTTCCTTATAAGCACAATGAAGTGTTCTAGAATATCTATTCTTTGCAACGCTATCCATAGTTTGTTATGATCCACATAATCAATAGTTTTTGCATAGTCAATAAAGCACAAACAAATATCTTACTGATATTCTCTGCTTTCAGCCAACAAAGAGAATGTGGAACTAGGGATATAATTGCTTTCATCAATAATTATATCCCTAGTTCTACATCCTCTTCTGAATCTGGCTTGAACTTCTGGCAGTTCCATGTTGATCTACCGTTGCAGTCATTTTTGAGTTATCTTTAGAGAAAATTTACTTGCATGTGATATTAATGGCATTATTTGATGATTTTCACATTCTGTTGGGTCACCTCTCTTAGTAATGGGCACAAATATGGATCTTTTCCAGTTGGTTGGCCAAGTAGTTGTCTTCCAAATTTCTCCGTACAGATGAGTGAGTGCCTGCAGTGCCTCATCAGTCTGTTGAAAGATTTTCTCATCTTATTGCTCTGACTAGGATTTCTAATATAATATTGAAGAGCAGTAGTGAGAACAGGCACTCTTGCTTTGCTCCTGATTTCAAGGGGAAAGCGCTCATTCTTTTCCTATTTTGTATAATGTTGGTTGCTGGCTTCTTAGCTATGCCATGAATCTTATTAAGGAATTTTCTTTCTGTTCCAAACTTCATTAGGATTTTTATCAAGACAGGGTGCTGGTCTTCATCAAATGCTTTTTCTGTGTCCAGAGAGATGATCATGTGGGCTTTCTCCTTTGTTCTACTGATGTGGTGTATTACGGTGAGTGATTTTTTAATGTTGAACCATTCCCACATTTCTAGAATAGGTTCCACTTGTTCATGATGCATGACTCTTAATATGTTGCTGGATTTTGTGACTAGTCTTATGTTGTATATTTTTGCATGTATATTCATAAGATATATATATATGTTTTTATTATGAATTGAGTGATAGTTTACATGGGAGAACAACATCAGTTTTACATTCATCCTATCATATTTTATTTCATTGCAATGACTACAATCCCCTCCACGCATCATTCAACAGCATTTGCTTCCATTCCCTGTTTCTTTTTGGATGTACACCAAAGCACTCAGGAACATATAATCATTCAAACAACCAAAGGGTGTAACCTGCAAGTCTGGCCCCAGACCGCCAGCACACAGCCCCTCTCCCTCCTTGACCCTAGAGTCCCCAACCGCTCCATCTCTCCATGTCATCATCTCAGTCTCCATCTCTGGCATTGCTGCTTCTCTGGATAGGGTCCTGCACTCCGCTCTTCTCCCTCAATAGTCCCAGGGTCCTCTGCACCTGGATTGCACCTAGACTCTCGTCCTTTTGTTACAAGATGTCTACCTTTATATTTGCAACAATCGCAATCTGTCCTGATAACAATTATTCACTATTGAACCACAAGAGTCTTATCCCCATCTCCTTTCACCAACCCTGTCTAGACAGATTGGAAAGCATTCAATGGAGATTCTACCTTCTCCCATACCCTCTGAAACTAAGCTCTCTCTTGAAAACTTGTTAGCCAGTCACTTTGTGCCTTTATAGGCATAAGAGATATCGGCCTGTAATTTTCTTTTCTTGTGGTATCTTTGTCTGGTTTTGCTATCTGGCTTATGTTTGCTTCATAGAATGAATTCGGGCATTTTCCCTTACCTTCTTTAGAAACAGGATTGATGTCAATTCTCTAGCTGTTTGGTACAATTCCTCAGTGAAGCTATCTGGTGTAGGACAACTTTTTCATTTAGTTAGAATGTTTTGATCACTGATTCAGTCTCTTCACTTGTTATGGGTCTATTGAGGCTTTCTATTTCTTCTTTCATCAGCTTGGGTAGGTTGTATACTTCTAAGAATTTATCCATTTCATCTAGCATATCCAGTTTGTTGCCTTACAATTGTTCATAATGCTCTGTCATTACCCTCTTTATTTCTACTGAGTCATTTGCAATATTCCCTTTTTCATTTTTTATTTTGATTATTTGCATCTTATCTCTTTGTTAGCCTAGTGTATGTTTTGTCTATTTTATCCATCATTTCAAAGAACCAACTTCTGTTTTAACTAATGCTCTTTCTGTTGATCTGATTCTGTCTTAAGATATTCAGTTTTAAGTTTTCATTCTTCATATAAATACATTTACAGTATAATTAATAAAGAAGTTACTGAGGTCTGAATGAGTCTTTGTACCTTTACTAATTTTCTTGTTAAACTATAATACCATATTATCCTATATGGTAATTTTGTTGCTTCAAGGGTAAAGGTTCCAAAACTCCCAACTTTCACAATATATAAGGTTAGGTCCTTATGGAGAACTGGAATGACTATGTTTAAAATAAATTGTAAATTCAAAATAGTTAGAAAACAATGTCTTAGGATTGTGGACTTAAGTATTGATCATGAAACATAATAAAACAAATTAAGATTGGGAGTTTATGCACTAGCTGTTGCTGTTGTTAACTGCCATTGAGTTGGTTCTGATTCATAGGAAACCTATATAGGGTTTCCAAGGAGTATTTGGTGGGTTCAAACTGCTGACCTTGTGGTGTACAGTTCAGTGCTGATCCTACAGCGCCAAACCAGGACTCCTTGTGTACTAGGGTAGTCAGTAAATCCTGGGGGTTCCTAGAGTATGAAATATAATCCTGGTTTTAACTATATTTGCTGTATTTTGTTTTCAGCAAATATCTGAGTACCTGCTAAGTAGCAACTATAACTACATATAGTGGTAAATTGTTCTAAACCAACCATTGTTGTTAACTGCCATCAAGTCGGTTCCAACTCATAGTGACCCTTAGTAAGATTTCTAAGAATAAGAATAAGAGGAAGCTTCAAAAAGTTCATAGAATAATTCCATTATCTTTTTATTCCATTTTTCTACAAACTTTTTGAAGCCTCCCTTTCCATAAGTGTCTCTAATTTCCAAGAGATTACAATTTAGTTATGCTGAAAAATATGTATGTAAAAAAAAAAAACAACACTGCAACATAGATTATAAATTATCTACAAATCCAGGCTAATGCCACCAATCAAACTATGGTAAAGTATCATTTTCACAAATAAAAGTTATGAAAAGATTTTATGTTTCCTTAATAACAAAGGATCGTTCTAGAGTCCTGATGTGATACTGCAGGATAAGCACTGGACTGCCAACTACAGGCTCCTCAGAAACTCTTTGCAGGGTCACTATGAGTCCATAGCACTTAACAACAACAACAAGAAAGATCCTCCTACAAATTCCTTGGAGATTTCAAATACCATTTTTGCTTTTCTTCTTTGAGCACAATTCACAAAACAAATTAAAAAATTTTTTTTCTTTCTGTTCACAATGGAATCAAAATGCATCTCTATATTCTTATATCAGTTGCTTCCCTCACTTTTGAATTTTTTAGAGTTAGTGGAATGGAAGAATTTCTTTTGTACAAATATTTATACTTGAGAATTAATATAATTTAGTAAGGAAATCTATTTAATGAGGGTGGTTAGCTCTTTCTCACAAACATACTTTAACAAATGACGAGGAAAATATAAATATTTAAGGATCACATGTTGTTGTCAAATGCCGTAGAGCTGATTCTGACCCATAGCGACCCTGTATAGGGTTTCCGAGGAGCAGCTGGTGAGCTTGAACCACCAACCTTGCCGTTCAAACGGCTTTGCAGTCTGGCGCATTAACCCACAGTGCCACACCAGGACTCCAAGGATTACATTGTTGTTGTCGTGTGCCGTGGAGTCGGTTCCGACTCATAGCAACCCTATACAGGGTTACTGAGGCTGTAAATCTTTATGGGAGCAGAAAGCCTCATCTTTCTCCCGCGGAACAGCTGGTAGTTTCAAACTGCTGACCTTGTGGTTCACAGCCCAAATACATACACATAGTAGGATGAAAATGGAAAAAACAGGTCAGTTATCTTAGCTCCAAATTAGTGTCCAATTACTAGGAAACAGCTCTACTAAACTCATTTCTCTGATCTTCATGCTAAATACCTGGGGATGAAGTGCAAAGTCTTCTTTACAGATTGGGCATGGATGCATAGAATCCCCTTGCATGGTAGATCTTTGCTTCACTTTTTCCCATTCATCTGCTGATAGTGGCAATGGAGGAGGCTCAAATAGACCTAGCTTCTGTGCTAAAGTTAAAACAATAAAAAACGTAAGTTAAAATATAATTTAAAATACGGTACTCATACAATTTTTAATGTCATTTCACACAAATATTAAGCTAATGCATTTATCTAATAAATTGCTGTATTTCAGAATATACACATTGCTGGTTTTCTGTGGGGCCACAGAAGTCAGTGAGAATACCTTACATCTGCAGTAATGTTTTATGTTTTCATTTACAAAGGATATTCTCATATTCCATTTTTATAATTCTTTAAGGCGAACAGAATTATCATCCAATTATAGATGGAAAATTGATGAATAATTTTTTCACATGTACTGTTCACAAGTCCGAATCATTTCTCACCTAATTTGTCTTGCAGGCCTCACAATTTCCTGTTTCTAATTAATCCTATAGCTAACACCAGGATGCTTTATAAAATGCATATCAATCATGTTCCTTCCCTGGTAAAAGATTCTTGTGAGTTGGAATTACTGTCAGGACAGATCTCTTAATTTAATCCTATTTGAATATCCACCACATGTCTACTCTGGGGCAAGTAGAGAACTCACAGTCCAATGGAAAACAATGACTTAAAAAAATTAAGAGCCACATACTGGAGCAAAAAGCTGGTGGGAAGATATGCATCAACTTCCATGAACTCACCGAAGTCCCAAAATGACAGTATATGTCTGAACACTGTCAACTTCCAATGATATCATCATAAATATAAAATAAAATGTCAAATTCATGAAATAAGAACAAGACGTTATGACAATGGGACATTCAGAGTACAAAAAAAATTACTGAAAAGAACAAAATTTAGGAATGGTAATCAGTTCAAAGACAAAAGAAATAGGTAAACTAATGTCACAGAAAGTAGGGAAAAAAGATAATGCAGGAGATGAAAAATAAGAAAATGAAAGAATCAGTGTGAGAGATGTGACATCTGAATAATTTCAGAAAGAAAACAGAGAAAACAAAGAACAAGGATTTTAAGGAAAATGACCCAAAACATTTCCCAGTAGTGAAGGACATGAGTTTCTAGTGTGAGAGCTCACCAAGTGTCCAGCACAATGTTGTTATTGTTGTGAAGTGCTGTCGAATCTGTTCCGACCCACAGCAACTCTGTATAGGGTTTCCAAGGATAATAGATGAATGAAAACTCACATCTCGTCCTATCTTTGTGAAATTTCTGAACAGTAAAGACCAAAATAAATTAATAAAATAAAACAAAAAAACAGACCCTAAAAGCTTCTGGAGAGCGAGGGAGATCTCAAAATAGGCATATTTTTGTTGCTTGCTAGCACCCAGATCTTGGTTGCTAAATTCTATTCTCCTTGGAGAAATGGCTGATTCTAAGGAATAGGCGGAGAAATATCAGATGATCATGGCACACCTTGTAGTGCCAGAAACACAAAATGCTCAGAAAACAAAGGATTGAAACAATGTGAGAAACAAAATAAATAACATCAGCATTGGATTATAACCCAAAATATAAAATAAATATACATGAATCTATATAGATATGACCACTACTCGTCTGTCAGTTTGTCATACTATGGTGGCTTGGGAGTTGCTGTGATTCTGAAAGCTATGCCACCGGTATTTTAAACACAATCAGGGTCACCCATGGTGGACAGGTTTTAGATGAGCTTCCAGACAAAGACAGAGTAGGAAGAAGGAGTGACAATATTTAGTCAATGAAAACCTTATGAATAGCAGAGAAACACTGTCAGATATAGTGCCTGAAAATGAGCCCCTCAGGTTGGAAGGCACTCAAAATGCCACTGGGGAAGAGCTGCCTCCTCAAATTAGAGTTGACTATAATGATGCGAATGGAATAAAGCCCGTAGGAGAAAAGCCCATAGGACCTTCATTTGCTGATGGGGCACAACTCAAAATGAAGGGAAATAGCTGTAAACATCTATTGAAAATTGGAACATGGAATGTACGAAGTATGAATCTGGGAAAACTGGAGGTTGTCAAAAGTGAAATGGAACACATAAACATCAATATTGTACGCGTTAGTGACCTGAAATGGACTAGTATTGGCCATTTTGAATCTAACAACCAACCACATGGTTTACTATACCAAAAATGACAAATTGAAGAGGAATGTTGCTACATTCATTGTCAAAAAGAACATATCCAGATCAGTCATGAGGTAAAACACTGTCTGTGATAGGATAATATCCATGCGCTTACAGGGAAACCCAGTTAATACTACTATTATTCAAATTTACGCAACAACCACTAAAGCCAGTGATGATGAAATAGAAGAATTCTACCAACTTCTTCAATCTGAAATTGATCAAACATGCAATCTATATTGATCATTACAGGTGATTGGAATGCAAAGGTTGGGAGCAAAGAGGAAGGCAGGATCAGTAGTTGGAAAATATGGCCTTGGTGATAGAGACGATGCTGGAGAATATACGATAGAATTCCACAAAATCAATGATTTGTTCATTTTAAATACCTTCTTTATAGAGTGACTATACACATGGACCTCACCAGATGAAATACATAGAAATCAAATTGACTACTTCTGTGGAAAGAGATGATGGAAAAGCTCCATATCATCAATGAAAATAAGGCCAGGGGCAGACTGTGAAACAGACCATCAATTACTCAAATGCAAATTCAAACTGAAGCTGAAGAAAATGAAAACAAGTCCATGAGAGCCAAAATATGACCTTGAATATATCCCACCTGAATGTATGGATCATCTGAAGAACAGATTTGATACATTAAACACTAAAGACTGAAGACCAGAAGAGTTGTGTGATGACAACAAGAACATCATACAGGAAGAAAGCAAAAAGTCATTAAGAAGAAAAGAAAGAAGGAAAAGGTCAAAATGGATTTGAGAAGAGACACCGAAACTTGATCTCCAGCGTAGAGATGATAAAGCAAATGAAAGAAATGAGGAGGTCCAAGAGCTGAACAGAAAATTTCAAAGCTCAGCTCAAGAAGACAAAGCCAGTTATTACAATAAAATGTGCAAAGATCTGGAATCAGACAACCAAAAAGGAAGAACACGCTCAGTATTTCTCAAGCTGGGGGAACTGAAGAAAAAATTCAAGTCTCGACTTTGGTTATTGAAAGATTCATTGGGCAAATTATTGAATAATGCAGAAAGCATCAAGAGAAGATGGAAGGAATACACAGAGTCACTGTACCAAAAGGAAATGGTTAATGTTCAACCATTTCAAGAGGTAGCATATGATCAAGAGCCAATGATACTGAAAGATGTCCAAGCTGCAGTGAAGGAATTGGCAAAGAACAAGGCACCAGGAATTGATGGAATAAAAATTGAAATCTTTCAAGAAAGTGAGGTGGTACAGGAGGTACTCACGCATCTCTGCCAAGAAATTTGAAATGACATGAATGTATGATTTGTTGAAAGTGGAGTTGATAGTCCGTTTTGGAAACCTTCACTTCAATAAAAAGTAAAAAAAAAAAAAAGAGGTGGGAGGAAAGGGAAAGTAATTCACTGACTAGAGGGTAATGTTAACTTGAGGGAAGGAGACAGCAAAATACAAGAAGGGAAGGGCAATATACAAGAGGGAGGGTGGCAGAACAATGATGAAGATACTTGAAGACACAGGGAGGTATGAAAGGGCTAAATGGGATAGAGGGAAATAGTGACACTTAAACAGTGTTCTGTTTGTAGATACACAGCCACACAGGCTAAAAGGGTATAGGAGCAAGGGTGGGATCCTATCTATCTAATGATCTATCTATCTATCTATCTATCTATCTATCTATCTATCTATCTATCTATCTATCT